TGTATGTTTGTTTTACGTTGCTTTACAGTAGTTTCCTCAAATGATTTAGGTGGCCAAAGATTAATCTATGGTGGTCAAGGCCACCACTGGTTCCACCATTGTGCCTGGTGTTGGATGTTGCTCAGTCACTCTTTGCCTCCTCAGACAGATAAAAACTACCTCTGTTCTTCTACACAGCATAATTCCTACCTACTTGAATATATTGCACCAACGACATTAAGGTTAATTGCATTCCCTGTTCAATTCCAGTCCTGAAAAACACTTATCTCGCAAACTACAAACTGTCGCTGTTCAAATCCCTCAGCAACGACGTCGGCGCACCGCTTGTTTATCTGTTGTTTACCTCAGAGTCATTAAAGTGTTTAGTTTGAGACACATTGAAGCTGTCTGGCTTTGAATCGCGAATGACAGTAAAGTTATTTGAACTTGATATAAAACTCTTAGAAGATAAACTTTAAACTTTTACAATATACTGATAAATTAGGCTTTATATCTTTTTTTTCTTCTCCATTTTTTTAACTGTTACAGACCTTATACAGCATTTATGTGACAAGCAGATGCTCTGTCTTTTACTTTGTGTACATACTATACCGTGTGCTGGTTTGTTTCGGTGGATCCTGCTTTCTGCTCATGCCTGACCTTTCTTTTTAATAGCCACATCTGCATTTAGTTGTTGGACCTATCATCATTGCTAATTACATCAGATCAGTCTTTTTTTTAATGCTTTTTTTTCTATAGTTACAAGTAGTACTCAGACTTGTTTTTTGATACCACTGAGATTTAATAATCCAAATTAAGAACTAAACTGTAAGTTGCATTTATTAGCTGAATAGGTGTAACAGATCATGGGATGTTATGTTGTAACTTCCAGAAGTACACAGACCATCTAAACTGATGCTGCAATCAGTTATTAACTTCTCAGAGTTATGAAATCTGGTGAAAGGAAATTGTCAATATTATCATTACAAAATGTTCTAAACACAGGAAATCTCAAACTGAAAAAAGGAAATGGGTCACAAGTGGACTTACTCAAACACTAGCCAAAACATATTAACTAAATATTAACATTTTGTCATTGAATGTAAAATAAGCTTTAAACATGAAACATACTGTAAAATGAACATTTGTAACTTTGCAGAGATGACATTTACTGAAGGGTTTTGAACTCTATTGTAAACAAACACATACGAGTCTGTCTGTCTGTCTGTCCTGTCTGTCTGTCTGTCTGTCTGTCTCTGTCTGTCCTGTCTGTCTCTGTCTGTCTGTCTGTCTCTGTCTGTCTCTGTCTGTCCTGTCTGTC